CAAAATAATAAAATAATAAAATAAAATAAGAAAACATGAAAATAAAATAAGAAAATAAAATAAGAAAATAAGAAAATAAAATAAGAATGTAAGAAAATAAGAAAATAAAATAAGATAAAATAAGAAAAAAAATAAAATACACAAAATAAAACAAAACAAGAGAAAACAAATAAAATAAGAGCAAACCAAACCAGAAGTGGAGTGCAATGTGCTGAAGCAGGGGGTTACCTCCAGGTAGGGCACGGGCGTGTCGGGGTTCAGGGGGTACTCCCGCAGCAGCCGCTCCTCGTCCAGGAACTTGCCGGCCCTGCCGTTGAAGGCCGGCTGGAAGAGCCCGTAGTTGAGCACATCCTTCAGGCTGTGGTTCAGGGTGCACAGGATGCGCTGCTTGGACACCCACACGGGAACGTCGGGATTCAGCCGGAGACACTTCTGTGGGAGACACGGGGGAGAGTCAGTCCTGCAACCCGGGAACGGCCCCGGCCGGAGCAGGGAGAAGGGTAAAACGGGAATGCCGCGGTCTGCTCCCTGTCAGGGCCTTATGGGAAGGGGGAAAATGGAGTTAGAGAAGGGTGAGACTTGGTAGATGTCCCTTAACACACTTTGTGTGGTTCAGGCAGATTCAGACCCATGAAATATGAGAAGCGTCCAGGAATTTTTTTATGGCCTAATAATAAATAGCAGCAAAAGTTCATTTAAAAATCTCCAACAGGGTGAAAAGATTTCTCTGTCGGTTTTTCTGCTGATTTCTCCACCATTCCAGAGGTGGTGACGGAGCACCGTGACCTCTGTCAGGACCTGGAGGCACCAGGAAGGTCTCCCAGTGGGAGGAAGAGAGAAGGACCCTCTGCTTCCCTTGTGCAAAGTCACACTTCCTACCTCACCCCATGACCACAGTGGGTTCTCCTGGCACCATCAGCCACTTCTCTCCCTCATCAGGACCCAAGTCACCCAACATTTCTATCCTACCCCCCTCAGGCTGTGTTTCCTCCTGCTGCTCTCCCACCTGGCTGCAGGGCCAGGCTGGTGCCCGTGTCCCCTCCGGGGTGGCAGATGCTGCTGTTGGGAGCATCTGCTCTCGAGGGTGAAGAGCAAGAGGGCAAGAGGATGTCGAGCCAGCAACAGCCTGTCCCTGACAGCAGCCACTGCGTCCCCTCCCAGTCCCTGGGTTTGCATTTTGCCTTCCCTTGTTCCCATCACTTTGTTTCCCTCCTGGTTCACTTCTCCACCCTTAAGGAGACAGTTCAGTGTTGGTTGAGGGGTTCATCTCAAAGCCTGTCAGCCCAGTTTGATGCTCCCGATTTCTGGAAGGCAAAGCCAACCATGACCCCCCTGCCCTGCTGTGCTCCTCAGCAGCTGTGGGATTGCCAGGCTGAGCCCTGCTCTGCTCATCACACGGATGATGTGACTCTTCTGCCTCCACACTTCTTCCCACCCTTGTCCTTCCCCTGGCTCACCGGAGGCACACGGATCCACACACCTTGCCCAGGAAGGTGCTGAGCAGCCGAGGCCTGAACACAGACAATGGACTGACACACAGATGGATCCCATCCCACCTTCTCCACGTGCCCAGCAGCACTTCCAGCAGCTGCCACGGACCCACGGCACCAGAGCTCCAGCCACAAATCCCACTGGAGCAGGAGGACACTCACCCGGGCGGCAGCAGCACCCACCAAACATCTTTACCCACCCCATCTGCCCACTTTACCCACCCACTTTACCCAACAGAGATACAGAACTTCCCCATGGAAAGGAGCAAGAGGAAACGGCCTCAGGTTGTGCCAGGGGAGGTCCAGGTTGGATTTTAGGAAAAATTTCCTCACTGAAGGAGCAGTTAAGCATTGGAACAGCCTCCCCAGGGAAATGGTGGAGTCACCACCTCTGGAAGTGTTCAAAAAAGGAGCGGATGTGGCAATTTGCAATACGGTTTATGGGCAGGTAGGTGCTTGGTCAAAGGTTGAACTGGTTGAACCCATCTTTACCCACCCACTGCCGAGTTAATTCAACCCCAGGGCCCGTTCTGGTCCCTCATCCCCTGAGAAATGAATGTTTGGAGCAAATCAAACAGCTCTGCCCAGTGAAGAGGGTCCCCATGTCACCCCACACGGTGCCACCCGCCCAGGAGAGGCACAAAGCCACGGAGCTGATGTTACAGCTCATTTCAATCCAGCCTGGATAATTTGCACTTGGCAGCACTTGTCCTGCAAACAGAGGTCAGTGTTATCTGTTCCATCGCTGACCATGTGTCGGGAGAGCTGGAATTCTCACCAGCTGGGGCCTGTCCTGGGCAGGATCCGAGGGACAGGCAGCCAGGGCGAGAAACCAGGAGTTAAAAAACCTCTGAGAAACACCAGCTCTGCCCTCCTTCAGTCCTCCAAGAGAAGCAGAATATGCATCACGCTTTCAGGGACCCATAAATAAAAAATAAGCGGTGTCTGTACCTTCCTGCTTGCTTATTTAGCCTCTAGGACTCTCCCTCACTGTCACATTGCGTTGTTGAGTACAAAAATACATGGCTGGTGGGAAAAGCAGCCCTGGCAGGGACAAGCACTGGCTGAAGGAAGGAAGCTCCAGGCCTAAAACCCACTGAATTTTAGACTCAACTTTGTACTGCAGAGTCACACTCTGGGGAGTGTTAACATTCCATATTTAAGAGAGAAAACAACTTGCACCCCGCAGAGAGGCTCCTTCTGCCTCTGAAAGCAGCAGGAAGAAAATGTTGACTTCAGCTGAGAGGTCACAGCTCTGCAAAGCCCTTTTTGGGCACAACATTTGGGCTGGAATGGCTCCTGTGGCTCAGCTTCTCCAAACGCCAAACACAGAAATCCTGCAACTAAACTTGGGCTGCGTCAAAAGGGGGTCAAGGGAAGGGGGTTCTCCCCCCTCTGCCCCGCTCAGGTGAGACCCTCCCCACTGCAGAGCTGCCTCCAGCCCTGGGGAACAGCACAGGAGGGACAGGGAGCTGCTGGAGAGAGTCCAGAGGAGGCACCAAGAGGATCAGAGGGATGGAGCAGCTCTGCTGGGAGAGCTGGGATTGTTCAGCCTGGAGAAGTTTTGGGGTGACCTAATTGTGGCCTTGCAGTGCCTGAAGGAGCTACAAGAAAGATGGAGAGAGACCATTTACAAAAGCCTAGAGGGACAGGACACAGGGAATGGCTCCAAACTGAAAGTTTAGATTAGATATCAGGAAGAAATTCTTCCCTGGGAGGGTGGGAGGCCCTGGCACAGTTTGCCCAGAGAAGCTGTGGCTGCCCCTGGATCCCTGGAAGTGTCCAAGGCCAGGTTGGAGCAACCTGGGCTAGTGGAAGGTGTCCCTGCCCATGGCAGGGGGTGGCACAAGATGGTTTTTAAGGTCCATCCAACCCCAACCATCCCATGATCCGTGAGGGATCCTGAGGAGGCACCCAGGGCTCGGAGAAGGGCAAGGTGGGAGCAGCTTTCAGAAGAACAAGTTGCTCACTCTGGTTTGCAGTGACAAGGGATCGTTTCTTCCACACAATTACAAGCTCTGATCACAATAATCAAAGCCTCAGGAACAACTCCTGAAAGGAAGGAGTGCAGCTCCTCGGCAGCACGGATGACTCCTTCTCCAAGGAAGAAAGAGCTCAGAGCTTCGGATTCAACCCTCAGCAATGCACAGGATGACAGACAAGATCTATTCAATGCTCAATCTATTCAACTGCAATAATAACAATAAAGAACTTACATTCAGCAATCCCTTAAGAGCCAAAAAAAGCCCCAAATTCTTCATCGACGAGCACGCGGACGAGAAAGGGCTGAAAGGAAATTAAAAAGCAGCAGCAGCTGAAAAGGTAACGTGCTGCAGGCAGCAGGGAGTGAGTGCATTTCATAAGATCATGTTAGAAACTCGGGGTAAATGCATGGCAGAAATGAAAAACCAGCCTCCAAGAGGCCCCTGCACAGAGATGGAGCAGAGGAATCCATCAAAAGGGAGGTTTCCTTCAGAAACGGGAGTCGCCTCCAAACGGGAACAGAAAAGTGAATAATCCTGCAAACCCCCCATCAAAACACGCCAAGGGAGAGGGAGGGGGGGCCTGATGGAAAGTGGGTGAGGCAACTGAGGCAGGACTCATCCATGGGGGAGTCCTGGAGCTCCTCCCGTGAGGATCAGCTGCAGGATGGGCTCCTCGCAGCAGATGCCAACACAAAGGAGAGAAGGAATTAACGCTCCCCCATCCACGCCAGTGGCCCGTGCCCAGCGCCAGCTGTGCCCTGCAGACCCTCACACCTCCAAGGAGAGCCTGGAAGGAACCCCCAAGTCCCAGAGCAAGGCCTTCCAGCTCACACACATTCCCAAAACGCTTTCGGCACCACCCCTTGCTGCCACGGATTGAAATTCCAGAGGCAAATCCTCCCTTGGGGAACCAAGGCAGAAGGCAGCAAACAAAGGTGAAGGCCAACCAGGTTTCCTGGCACGAGGGGTTCACCAGCACAGTGACGTGGGGTAGGTGTGGGAAGGGCTGCTCTGACACCCCTGATCTGGCAGCACATCCAGATCCTCCTCATCACGTGCGGGGCTGGCGGCCCCGTCCTTCAGGAAAACAACAGCAACAGGAAAAAGGTAAAGGGGAAGGAGGCAAAGGTGACAGAGGCACAGGGTGGCCTGCACGGGACAAAGGCACTGTGTCTGCCCCCAGGGAACCCTCACAGCACAGAGCCAGGCACAGATCCCGGGATACCAGCACTGGGACAGAGCTACAGAAACACTGTGCCCAAAGCAAACAGGCCCAGGGAACAATTCCACCTTTCCTTAAGAGATTGTGTTTGGATTCCTGCTTTTTTTTTTCCTAATAACTCGTTCAAAACCCACCCCCTTAAGCAGCAGTTTGAGCCACAAGCTCTTCCTGAGACCTGGAGCGGATTCTCTGGTCCCCCCCAAGGGTGTGAAATCCCACAGGATCCTCCTGGCCTCACTCATGGGCTGGCAGGAGAAGGGATGAGAGCCACAGGAGAGTCCTGACTGGGAATGGCTCCCACCAGCAACCTCTGAAACCCACTCCCAACCCAGCCAGGGGCTGTGGGACAGGTTGAACATCACCATGGCAGCTCTTTCCCCCCATTCCCATGGTCCAGGGAAGGAGTCGGGCTCTGAAAAGACCAGGGAAGAGCAACCACCACTCCACAGGTCAGTGGAGGAGAGAGGAGGAATCTGCCCACTAAGTCCTGGCCAAAGGCAAACTGGGACCAGCCTGGAGAGAGCAAGCTGTGTGTGCTGGCAAGACAACAGGAATTTCTGGGCTTAGATCACCTCCTGAGGAAAGCTCTGGCCCTGCATCCGCCGTGCTGAACGCCAGGGAGAAGCTGCCTCCACCAAAAGGAAACCAGATAAAGGGCAGGAGGGAGGGTCTCAGCTCCCAGCAGGAAGCTCCTGGTGCAGGGGGATGTGTCAGACAACAAAGGATTTGGGCTCC